CAAAAAAAAAAAAAAAAAAAAAAGTGACAAGCAGAAAACAGCAAAATAGTGACGATGAAGTGAAAAAAAAAAAAAAACCAAAGTAATTTACAAATTACTGGCACGGAGTCTAGAAGTTTGGATCCCCTTTGGGTATTTTCATAATTAACAAAACATAATAAGGTAGGAGGCAGTATATCTGGGGTATTTTAAAATGCAATCTGAGGTTACAAATCTTGTAGCAGCACCAGATTAGATATACCCTATGGAACATCCGAAATGTTTCTAAACGCAGACACTTTCTGATAGGACGCCCTTATCTAATTACCCAGAAGCCTAGAAGATACTCGCCTCCACAGCGACTGTAATAGTCCTTGCTTAACCAGGGGCGAAACCTACAGCTTTTTTTAAACCGTAATCTCTTTCAAAACTAATGGCTCTCAAAACATTATTATTTCCTTCCAGGAAAGACAAGTTCTCGCGAAAATAGAAGACCGCGCAGCGTAATTGCGTCATTGCGCCTGCGCGCACTGCTGCAGCAAGCACTTCCTTCTGAGCCGCGCTGTCACTCACGGCCGTCTTTCCGCCCCGCCCCGCCCCTCCCCTTACGCCCCGCGCCGTGACGTAGCGCCTGCCCCTCCGCTGGGTGTCTGTGTCTCCTGACCACTGCGCGCAGAACTGCTTTGTTTCCAGATTCTGGTTCTGAGCTGCGGTTCTCAGCGAGATTTCGCACTGCTCGTCCTATGTTCCTGCACTGGTAATGAGCAAGGGATCAAGCAGCAGGACGAAGAAAGAAATCGAATAAGAGACGCTCGGCTCCCGGCCGAGCTCCGGGTAGCTCTTCGGCTCCCGGGTCGCCCTCCGGACCGCCCTCCTGCTCCCGGACGCTTTGCTGCTCCCGACCGCTCTTCTGACCGCCTTCCTGCTCCCGGCCGCTTTGCTTCGACCGACTTTTCTGCTTCGCTGTAGGGCAGAGAGACTGAATTTATAATCGTCCGTGGATTGTAAGTACCCAAACCTACGAGGGCTTACCGCACCCCTTTTTAAAAAACTCTTTTCGAGAGAGTTTACGGATTGGGCTTGTTCGCTGGGTGTCGGCTTTTTCTGCTGAAAATCTGCGGGAGCCGCCATTTGCTTTCCTGGTGGCTCATTCGTTCGGCCTGCGTTGTCCGGCAGCGGCATCTAGAGGCTGGAAGTTGGCATTGCAGCGAATAGGCTGATGAACTTTGTGAATAAGCCAGTGTGTTAATAAGGACTGCTGCTGTTTCTTTATAGCATATATACGGGAAAAACTTGGTGCCTGATAAAAAATTAAGACAAGATAAGTGTTTAGCTGGCTTGTGTTCTGCTTAGAATTCTTTATTAGAGATTTGAATTTATATCACACTGGACTTTTTAGCTGTTGTAGCTGGAACTTTTTAGTGTAACAAGTGCTTATTGGAGAAGTGAATCAGCAACAAGTAAAGATGAGTAAAAGCAAAGATGATGCTCCTCATGAACTAGAGAGCCAGTTTATCTTACGTTTACCCCCAGAATATGCTTCTACTGTGAGAAGGGCAGTACAGTCTGGCCATGTCAACCTGAAGGACAGGCTGACAATTGAGTTACACCCTGATGGGCGTCATGGAATTGTCAGAGTGGACAGGGTCCCATTGGCTGCAAAACTGGTAGATTTGCCTTGTGTCATGGAAAGCTTGAAAACCATTGACAAAAAGACCTTTTACAAGACAGCTGATATCTGTCAGATGCTTGTATCCACAGTGGATGGTGATCTCTATCCTCCTGTGGAGGAACCAGTTGCCACTACTGATCCGAAAGCAAGCAAGAAAAAAGATAAAGACAAAGAGAAAAAGTTTGTTTGGAACCATGGAATTACTCTGCCTCTAAAAAATGTGAGAAAGAGAAGGTTCCGGAAGACAGCAAAGAAGAAGTATATTGAGTCCCCAGATGTGGAAAAAGAAGTTAAGCGATTGCTCAGTACAGATGCTGAAGCTGTCAGTACTCGTTGGGAAATAATTGCTGAAGATGAAACAAAAGAGGCAGAAAATCAAGGCCTTGATATCTCGTCTCCAGGTATGTCTGGCCACAGGCAGGGCCATGACTCGTTAGAACATGATGAGCTTCGAGAGATATTCAATGATCTCAGCAGCAGCAGTGAAGATGAAGATGAGACACAGCATCAAGATGAAGAAGATATAAACATTATTGATACTGAGGAAGATTTGGAGAGACAGCTACAGGACAAGCTGAATGAATCAGATGAACAGCACCAAGAAAATGAAGGAACCAACCAACTGGTTATGGGAATTCAGAAACAGATTGATAACATGAAAGGCAAGCTCCAGGAGACCCAGGACCGGGCAAAGCGACAGGAGGATCTCATCATGAAAGTGGAAAACCTGGCTCTCAAGAACAGATTTCAAGCTGTGCTGGATGAACTCAAACAAAAGGAAGACCGAGAAAAGGAGCAACTCAGCTCCTTACAAGAAGAGCTAGATTCACTTCTCGAGAAGTAAGGACATTGACACTTTCAGTTGGCAGGCTTGTCAGCATTACAAAAGTCTTGGTTATATCCCTTGGACTGGATATTAAGACCTACTATTTTCCTTTTCCCTCTAATGCTAGAAGTTGAATTATTTCAGTTTTTCTGAACCATTTTGCAATGTTTCCTCTATGTTCATTCTTTAGGAAGTAGGATTGTATTGGCAGAAAGATTGTTATAGGAAAGTTGTAACGTGAGATGAACAGTTTAGTCTTGCAACTTCACTGCAGGACTTTGCTATTTTTGTTTTCCAGAGGCTGCTGTTGGTGCCCTGTTTTACTATCTGACAATAAGAATACATTAGTTTGGACTTAGTTAAGCTAGTTTTTTTGTTTGTTTTTTTTTCTCATACAATAGTTATTTTCTTAGCTACTCAAAGTAATTTTCTATATGTAGACATGCAAGTTATTTCTAACAATAAAAGCAATAACTTTTGACCTTTTAATGTGTCTTATTCTTTACTAGATGCTGGGCATTGGGATGGGTTCTGGGTAGAGTTTAATGACTGGAAAATGTGATTCTGTTTAGCATGTGAAGGAGTTCTGTTGGGATTTCAGAAAAAGGAAAACTGCAGGGGCAAAGAAATTGGAAAGTGTCATTATACATAGTTCTAGTCCATATCCATTTGGAAGTTGCAAACATTAGGTACAGAGCTTTCCTAAACTATTCTAATTTGTAGACCAAGGTCTGTTTGTGCCTTTCTAAAAAAAATAAGTTTATCTCCATGAAATTTTGGAAATGAATAGCTATCAAATGTAGTCCAATTGACCAATCCATGGATTTGGATTGATATTTTAAATTATTTTCAGTTTAATTCCTTTAGTTATTAATATTCTAGTAACTGAGGTGTTGTTATCTGTTACTTCATAAATGCCCTTAAAAGAAGATAGTACCATGGTTTGATGTTTCAGATTTTGTTAGACTTTCCATTCTTTAAAGATAATGCCTCATGTTTGAAAGCTAATTTTGAAAAAACTCAGTGATAGAGTTGCTGCAACTCATCTCTAAATTAAAAAATATGGTTTCAAAATGCCCTCATGAAGTAAACATAAACCTCATTTTAATTTTGTATCTGACAGGAAGCAGTGAAGTGTTTCAAGAATTATACAGTCAAGGGCTGGGGATTTAGCTTTGGTTTTGCTGCCTGCCTTGCAAGTGCAAGGACCCAAGTTTGATCCCTGCTCCCAAAAAAAAAAAAAAAAAAAAAAAAAAAAAAAAAAAAAGATACAACTATTTGCAGACCACCAGGATAATTTTTTCATGTCTGATCATGTATCTTTTTGGTTTTGTTTTTTTTTTTCTTTTTTGATACTGGGAATTGAACTGGGATCTTGTGTTTGCAAGGCAGACAGTGGAACCACTGAGCTAAATCCCTAGCTGGTTATGTATCTTTTTTTGTTTTGAATTTTTGAGACAGGGTCTCACTATGTAGTTGAGACTGACCTGGGATTCACTGTGTAGCCCAGGCTGGTTTTGAACTCACAGTGATCCTCCTGCCTCAGTCTCCCTGAGTGCTGAGATTATAGGCTTGTGCCACCACGCCCAGCTAGCTGGTAATGTTTCTTAAGACTTCAGTACAGAACTGGAGTTTTCAGCTCCAGACTTTTTTTTTTAATTTTTCATTAATAGTTTGTTTGGTTTTTTTTAACATTTTAGGATCATGGGTGACAAAAAAATTGTGCTTTTAGTATATTTTGGTATTTTGCTACATTAACAAAAGGGACATTGGGAAAGTTGCTACCACATCTAGCTTTACAGTGGATTATTTGTCAATTTGTTAATATCAGTGATAATTCAGTTCCACAAATAGAAAGGAAAAATGTTGGATAAGCGAGATAGCCTACTGACCTCATTACTTTTGGTTCAGTTATTTATACTGATTCTCACGTCCTTCTAACCCTGATTTCATCTGAGCTTCATGTTCAACTGTATCCTGGAGAACAGACACTTAAAAAGTATTACTTAGGCATTGCAGCTCTTCATGATCAAAATGAATTGCGTCTTCTCTTCCCTGAAAACATGCTCTTTCTCCAGTGTGTTAGTGAAAATAAAAGCCACTATCACACAGCCCACATGTAGAAGTGTATTTGAACTGTAGCTTTTTGTTTTCTGTTTTGAAACGGTCTCATTATGTAGTGCATGCTGCCTTGAACTCAAGGCAATCTCCATCTCTCAGGCTCCAGCGTATTAACTTTGACTTCTTTTTTCCCTTCAGTATGGATTCTGCTTTTTTTTTTTTTGGTACCACCAGAGATTGAACTCAGGACCTTGCCTTGTGAGGCAGGCAGCAGTGCCACTAAGCTAAACCTGCAGCCCTGTAGTCTACTTTTAAAAAGAAGCATTTCATACCACTGCCACTGTTTTATTTCAAGCCATTTTACTTTTTTTTTGTGTTTGTTTGTTTTTGAGACAGGGTCTCAGTTATGTAGTAAGACTGACCTGGGGCTCACTGTGTAGTCCAGGCTGTTCTTGAACTCACAGTGATCCTCCTGCCTCAGCCTCCCAAGTGCTGGGATTACAGCAATGTGCCACCACACCTGGCTAAGCCATTTTACTACTTAACAAATGACAGTGACTTCCTAATTTAATTGGTCTCTGACTCAGGCTTTTGTTTTCTGGAACATAAGAAGGAAGGAGTAGAACAGGGTGTGAGGCAGGAAAAAAATTACCAAAGCAAGGAGGGAACTGGTAAGGCCATTCTCTAAAGATGCTGTAATGGGCTGGTTCTCATGAAGTGTCCTTGTGAAGAACACCAGGAAGTCTGGCTTCCTCATTTCACTCGAATAAACTGGTGAGATACATAATGCTGTAGGTGCCTCACCCTAAGTCTACAGGTCCCCAGAGGTCCATTAAGATGAGCCCATTCTGTAACCTTCAGATGAAATGTATTCTGCCTTATGAGACAATGTCCTGAGAGTGCTGTTCTGAAGTTCTTGGTTGCTTTTCATGAAAAACAAAAAAACAAACACAAAACAAAACAAACAAAACCTTATTGCAGGTGCACTCAAGGTCTTAGAATACTCAGCAGAATAACTCCACAGCAGGGTTCCCAACAACTCAGCCCTTGCAGAAAAATTTTGAAATTTCTCTAGCACCTCTGCTTCCATTTCTTTTTCTGCTAAAACTTATATCTTGACTCCCATTTCATGGCTAACGTAATATTTATTTTTAAAGATCCTGGTTTTCTCCTTGCTTAGGATATGAACAAAATCTTCATAGTTTTTCCTTGTACAAGAACCAAAGGTTAGGCCAGGTGTGGTAGCACACGCCTGTAATCCCAGCACTCGGGAGGCTGAGGCAGGAGGATCGCTGTGAGTTCGAGACCAGCCTGGGCTACATAGTGAGTTCCAGGTCAGTCTCAACTACATAGTGAGACCCTGTCTCAAACAAAACAAAACAAAACAAAACAAAAAAAACCAAAGGGTAAATTTAGATTTGTCTTTTCTCCTTGACAGATGAAGAGCTAAATTCATAGAACAAATTTAGTTATTGCTATTATTTTAAGCCAAAAATGAAAATGAAATAATGAGAGTGAAGTATTCATTTGGAATTAGAGACTGGCTGTCTCCAAGGATCCAGTGCACAGAGAGCAGATAGGTTCTCATACAACAAAAGCAGATAAAATACCAATGTAGCACTTAACTCATAAATTTATATGGAAGTTAAAAGATGTAAAATATTTTTGAACACCAATGAAATTAACACCTTTACAGTAACTGACTCTAATTGTATGTTTAGGCTGTCTCTATAATGGGGTGGTAATGCAGAGTATTGACATGTCACTGGACTCCAGCTTATCTTGGACTTTCTTACATTTGTTACAGATACAGTAATGGGCTCCTTTTGTTTTAAGGCATACCCCTGGTGGGTGAACTATTTTTAGTGAACTGTTTCTAAGTCACTGAAAAAAATATAATTGTCCATTTCATTTGTCCCTCAGTTTATTTTTAGACTTTATTTCTTCAGGAAGCTTCAAAGGAAGATATCTGATTTATACTAGATGATTTTTATGTAACATATCATTTGCAAAAAAAATTTAATTTCTGCTACTATTTAGTATTCACTGTAGTTATATAGAGCCTAATCTAATACCTTGAATATAGTCAGTCCTCAATAAGTACTTAAATGTGATACATTTTTCATAGATTAAATAAATGTTCAACCAAAAATGAGATTACTTGTTTTAATCTTTAAAATGTAGGTGTATTTATGTCAGGAACTATTCTACATAATTTTTGGGGAAAATAATTTCAAAATTAAAGTATGACTACAGCTATCTAAGGCCCAAAGTCACTTTGCCTGAGTAACTGGGGCATGTCAAAACGTAACTCCATTTTGCCTCTGGTCACAAGTTGAGGCCTTAATGGTCCCATGATACTGTGATGCTCGAGGGCAAGTTTACATCATCTGAAGACATCCTGATTCTTTGAGAACCATGTAATAAAGAAGAGAAAGATTTCACCTGGGGGAAGGACAAATTCTTCATTAGCCTGCTATCTTGTCCTACCTACCCTTGTAAGAATACTCTCTTTACTGTCCTCATCATCCAAAAATCCTCAGCCACCTAAGATCCTTGGCAACCTGAGATCCTCATCAACATAGAATTACTACTGCCCTCTCAGTCACCCATTACTCCCTCAATTATTGTGTGCATCCAATACATAGTGCTTAGCTTGGGGTGTCTAAGTCTTTGCCCACTCTGACTCCCTCCCACGTACTTTGAAATTATGCAAGTGTCTTATGTTTTTCTTTAGCCTTTGCCACCCCGCTTTCTAGGTAGTCAAGGATTGATCACCCTCAGATATATTTATTTACTCTCACACAATATAAAACTTTTGAAATCAGCTGCAAGGAAAGTATTAAATGAATTCCTGACATACTTGATAATTTCAAAAATATCTAAACAAATATAACACAGAAGCGGTTAATTATTATTTTGCACTTCTTTAAAAAATAAAGTGTTCCAGATATAATTAACATTTAACCATGGGCATTTAAACACTAAATGCCCATTTAGATAACTTGATAGGCCTTCCACAATATCATTAAAATATGCATCCCCCTTTCCACTTCTATTTTTTTAAAACAGAAAAGAATCCTCAAATATGAGGAAAAAAAATTAAATATCTTAAAACTTCCCAATTTAAAATGGCAGATTATTCTCACATATCTCTCTCTGTTTTTATTTTATTTTATTTTTTTGTCATGCTAATTAAACTCAGGACCTCATGTTTGCCAGGCAGGTCCTGTGCTGCTGAGCTAAATCCTCTACCCATCTCACAAATCTCTTGCTAAAATAACTAAGAGGGTTATTAAAAGATGCTAACCCCAAAGACAAAGATATATGAGATAAGGTAACAGTGAATGAAACATATCAACCCCTTTTCAGTCAGCCGAAGTACAGTAGATGGAGAAATGTTAAAGGTATTCTGAGCTCAGGAAGCTACATGCTAAATGTCTGCAAGGGGTTACTTAGGAGAAACAAGTTCACTTTATATAGACTCTATGAGAAGCAGTTCACATTTTTTGCAGGAAGACTCCAGGAAAGGTGTAAAGGTGTGTAGCTAGACACATGAGGTGTCTATCTGCATGGTGTAGGTACCCCTGACAACAGGGGGGTGGTGGCCAAGTCGGAGGCGTTTCCCAGGGCTATGGCCGAGTCCTGGTAGATACAGTCCCTCTCCTCAGTGGTGAAGAGGGTCTGAAGAAGGTGCTGGCAGTCGTCCCACAAGGGCTGGTGGGTATGGAAGACAGGCTCTAACAGCTGATTCAAAGCCTGGGGTTTCTCAGAAAAGGGTGCAACCTGATTTCTCCAATTGTACAGATCACTAGTTATGAAGGGGACATAAGCAAATCCACTACCCGGTTCAACCTGTTTAAGAGGAAGAACTGTTGAGGAAACTTGACTGGTGGGCGGGGGGTCATAAATTTGGCCTGACCGCATGCGTATGGGGAGGAGACAAGGGACCCAAGGGTGTCTCTGATAGATGGACCCCTGGAGGCAGAGGGTCCAGAGGCAGAGTCTGGCAGCACCTCAGGTGACTCCTTATCCCATTTGTCAGGGGTACCTACAGCATGCAGAAGGAGAAGTCCCAAGTGTGCGAACAGACTGGGACCCAAACATGGAGGCAGGTAGGAGAGACCTGGCTAACTACTGCCAGCATCTTTTGGGAGGACTCCGGCAGGCAGCTAGAAAGCCAACCAATTTGAGTAAGGTAAGCGAAGTAAAACAAGATAGGACGGAGTCCTCCGCAGCCTTCCTGGAGTGGTTTCATACTCCTATAAACCCTGGTGCTGCGGAAAATGCAGCTGCTGTAAATTTGGCTTTTGTATCACAGTTGGCCCAGATATTAGAAAGAAGTTACAGAAGTTAGAAGGGTTCAAAGGAAAAAATAGATCTGAGCTCCTGGGTGTAGTGCAAAAAGTATATGATAATAGAGATTCCCCTGAAGAGGTGATTGCCAGAAAGTGAGGAAAAGTGACCATCACGGTGCTGCAGAGTTATGAGGCTGACAAAAGAGTTGAAAGACAGAGACTGAAGTCAAGGGAACTAACAAAAATCAAAGACCCAACATGGAAAAAGACCAATGTGCCTATTGCAAGGAGATTGGACATTGGAAAAATGAGTGCCCCTTAAAAAAACAACGGGAAGAGGAGCAGGCTAAACCTAAAAGGAGTGAGGTCCTCACCCTAGAAGACATGGAACAGGGAAGTCAGAGTCCCCTTGAGCCCATAGTAAAATTAAAAGTCAGGGCATACAGATGAGCTTTCTGATGGATACCAGTGCAGCTCATTCGGTTTTGACCGAGCCATTAGGAAAAATGACCAAACAAGAGGCTCTAGTTCAGGGGGCAACAGGACGAAATTTAAAATTATATAGATGGACTACGGCAAGGACTGTGGACTTGGAACATCAACAAATGACTCATTCCTTTCTGGTAATTCCTGAATGACCACATCTCTTGCTAGGAAGAGATTTACTGAGAATACTGGGGGCAACCATTACTTTTTCAGAAGAACAGGCTGATTTAAAATTGGGGGTTGCTGGCCAGGCATGGTGGTGCACGCCTGTACTCCCAGCACTCGGGAGGCTGAGGCAGGAGGATCACTGTGAGTTCAAGACCAGCATGGGCTACAGAGTGAGTTCCAGGTCAATCTCAACTACATAGTGAGACAAAAAAAAAAAAATTGGGGGTTCCTGCTAGACGAATAAAATTATGGTTACATGCCCACTGTCTGAAGAATATCTGCTGATGGCTGAGTCTTAGCCCACCCCTCAACCTATAATCAAAGAACTTCAACAGGAATTTCCACAAATATGGGCAAAAACCAACCCCCCAGGCCTGGCCAAACATCACCCTCCAATTGTGGTTACACTAACTTCTTCTGCTCAGCCTATTTCAGTGCACCAGTACCCCATCAAACTGGAGGCAAGGATCAAAATCAGAGAACACAGAAACAGGCTCCTTGCCACTGGGATCCTAAGGACCTGTCAGTCAGCATAGAACACGCTGTTTCTGACAGTTCTGAAACCTGGACCAATGACTATCAACCAGTTCAAGACCTTTGTGAGGTAAACAGGCAAGCGGAGACTGTGCACTCCACAATCCCCAACCCATATACTTTGCTGAGCCTCCTGCCCCCTCAACAAGTCTACACCAAGTTGGATTTGAAAGATGTGTTCTTTAGCCTCCTGTTGGCCGAGGTAAGCTGGCCTTTGTTGCCTTTGAGTGGACTGATCCAGAGGGGGGATACTCAGGTCAGCTTACGTGGATCCGACTGCCACAGGGGTTTAAAATGCCCCTACCTTATTTGATGAAGCCCTAAACAGAGACTTAGCTCCATTGCAGTAGGCACATCCTGAGGTGTCATTACTACAATATGTAGATGACCTTGTTGCTGAAGAAAATTAAGCCATTTGCTTACAGGCCACCAGAGACTTGTTAAGGCTGTTAGAACAAATGGGGTATTATGTATCAGCCAAAAAGGCCCAGATATGCACCACTAAAGGTGACCTACTTAGGATATGAAATTAGCGAAGGCAGGAGACGGCTATCTATGAGGCGCAAAAAGGCTATTCTACATATCCCCACCCCGAACATGAAAAAACAGGTATGGGAATTTCTGGGGGCAGCAGGATATGGCAGATTGTGGATTCTAGGTTTTGCAGAGATAGCTAAACCCTTGTATACTGCAATTGAAGGAGGAAATACTCCATTGATTTGAACTGAGGCTGAACAAAAGGCGTTTGAGGCCTTAAAACAGGCCCTTTTGAGTACCCCAGCATTGGCACTCCTTGATGGTGGAAAGCCCTTCTGCTTGTTTGTAGCGGAAGACAAAGGAGTAGCAAAAGGCATGCTAACACAACATCTTGGACCATGAAACTGTCCTGTGGCCTATCTGTCCAAAAGACATGATCCCATCAAGACTGGATGGCCATCTTGCCTCAGGGCCCTTGCTGCAATGGCTGTGTTGTTGAAAGAAGCAGACAAACTAAGTATGGGACAAGGACTCACAATCACCGCACCATGTGCGGTGCTGTCCATGCTCCGGGGAGAACCAGAACATTGGCTGTCAAATGTGAGACTAACCCAATACCAGGCTCTTTTGAATAAGCATCCTAGAATTAGGTTCACAGATGCCACGTCCCTAAACCCTGCCACCCCGCTGCCTGTCCTGGACCCGTCCACTCCCCTACATGACTGAGGGGAAATATTAAAGGAGATAACTGCTGCTAGACCAGACCTCCGAGACCTTCCCCTGCCAGATATAGAAGAAACTTTCTTCACAGATGGTAGTAGCTTCATGGAACAAGGAGTAGGGTATGCAGGAGCAGCAGTGGTAGATAAGGAGGGAACAATCAGATGGGCCCAGCCTCTGAGCCATGGGAGGTCTGCTCAAAAGGCTGAACTGATAGCTCTCACCCAGGCCCCGCGCCTGACTAAAGGAAAGACTGCCAACATATACACTGATAGCCGGTATGCGTTTGCAACCATCCATATTCATGGAAAAATATATACACAGAGAGGGCTACTCACATCAGGGGGGAAGGACATAAAAAATAAACAGGAGATATTGGCTCTGCTAGAGGCCATCTGGAAACCTCTAAAGCAGTGGCGGTTATGCACCGCTAAGGACATCAAAAGTTGGACTTGGATGAGGCCATTGGAAATGAAAGGAGCGACCAGGCAGCAAAACAAGTGGCCAAAAACCAGTGGGGAGCAGTAGCCTGGCCCTGCCATTAAAGGTATTCTCGGAGTTGCCCGCAAAACTGGAGTACTCCCAAGATGGAGAAAATCAAAACAAACACCTAGGTCCACTAAACAAGACAACGGATGGTGGACATACCCTGATGGCCGGGTGTGTTTACCACAAGCACTGGGAAGAAAACTGATTCAACAAACACACCAGCTGAACCACCTGGGAGAAAAGAAACAGAACAAATTGGTGAGTTCTAAATTTTTAAGTAGCCTCAATGGTTCAAGATATATGTTCCAGGTGTCAGGCTTGTGCTCGAGTATATGCCAGCACCAATTCAGGAGAAGGTGTCTGTCATCGGGGAGAACATCCAGGGGAATACTGGGAACTGGACTTTACTGAGCTAAGACCAAGCCGCGGATACGGGTGTCTGTTGGTCTGGGTTGATATTTATTCTGGATGAGTTGAAACATTTCCTACCAAAGGAGAAACAGCTCAAATTGTAAGTAAAAAGCTACTACAGGAGTTTATTCCCCGATTTGGCCTCCCACAATTCCTGGGGTCCGACAGTGGCTTGGCCTTCACAGCCAAGGTTTCTTAATTAGTGGCTAAAGCACTAAACATTGACTGGGAACTACATTGTGCCTATCAGCCACAAAGTTCAGGGCAAGTTGAAAGGATGAACCATACATTGAAAGATACTTTGACTAAGTTTATTTTTGAAGCAGGTGGTGGCTGGCCAGATCTTCTCCCACTAGATCTGTTAAGAGTCAGGTGTGTACCCTATGTTAAAAAGCTGACACCTTATGAAATTATGTATGGGAGACCACCTGCATTGTTGCCTAAGGTAAAACTAGAAACTGTTGCTGAATGTAAAAATCAGACTGATTAAACCCTTACAAGCTCTTCAGGATTTACAACAGGAAATTCAGAGCCAGATCCAGAAGGCCCAAGCCCCAGATGAAAGAAACTGGACAGACCACAAATTCCAGTCTGGAGATCTTGTGCTGGTCAGGTGCCACTCCTCTAAAACACTCGAACTTCACTGGAAGGGGCCCTACCCTATTGTTCTGATGACTCCCACTGCTCTAAAGGTAGCTGGCATCACTCTGTGGGTCCACCACAGCCACGCCAAAACCGCACCTGAGGACCAGACTGAGACAAGATGGAAGGTCATCAGCCGTCCAGGAGACAAAAAGATAAGACTAAAGCACATAACGGATTGATACAACAATGTGTTATACTATATATTTTGTGTAATAACCTGCAGATAACATCTGGTAGTAATCCTTACGCTCCTCAGGTAGAAATATGGGAGCTTAGATTAATCTCCACTGGAAAAGTTCTTGATAAATATATAAAGGGGCCAGACAATTCAGAGATTACATTCAAAATAAGCTTATGCAGTTTAAAAGGTAAAAAACAGCCTGTTTCCCACTATATGAGACGAAGCCCTGGGATGACTGGGGCTTCAATGTTAGGAAGCCTTGATTTTGGAGACTGTGCTGGTTATTCCAACCCAACCCCCACACAATATTATGTGTGTCCAGCACTGGATGACTCTGTGAGCTCAGCCCCAGAGATTACCATTGCTCCAAATGGGGTTGTAAAACCATAGCCCCTTGGAAGGACAGTGATGTCTGGCTACAGATGACACCTATCACTGTACAGCCTAATGACCATATAGGGTCATTATGGGGATCAGGAAAAACTTGGGGAATTAGGTTATATGTGCCAGAATGGGATCCTGGAACCAAGTTCACCATTCAAAAATTCAAACGCCATGCCCTGATCCCAGTTGGCCCTATTAAAGATTGGGTTTTACCCATCTGGTGGTTTCTAGATATCCTAAGACTTTGGCCAACAACAAGACCCCAACAAAAAGCTACGGAAAAGCTCTGCCACACAGAGATTTTTACACCTACCCTCAGTCTTCTGACACTTACCACCCCCATAAAAAAATCCCCTTCCACTACACCATTTTTAGAAATGCTAACTCAAGTACATAGATTATTAAATCAGACAGCCCCCGAAGAAGCCAAGGATTTTTGGCTAAACCTTGACCCACAGCCTCCTTATTATGTGGGCATTGGGCTCATAAACCAACCTGAGACAGCACAATCTTATGTTTGTAACTGGAACAGGCCCAGACTTACATTAGGAGACATCCAAGGACAAGGGACCTTCCTGGAAAGTACAGGTTTTGATCTGTCTTGCTCTCCTAACAAAGACGTATGCAACAGTACCATTACTAACCATTGTACCCCAGGAGCCTTACACTATCATGCCCCAGAAGATGCCTGGTTTGCCTGTACAGAAGGATTAACTCAATGTACACCTAAGGCAGCATTCGATAAAGGTCCCTTGTTATGTATAACTGTCTTTGTGATACCAGAAGTCCTGTATTATAATGGCCCCGAGGGGTGTGAACATTTTGCCCTGACAAAAGAAAAACCTAGATTCAAAAGAGCAGCCCCTGTTTTGGTGCCCATCTTGGTAAGCTTAGGAATTGCAGGATCAACAGCTCTGGGAACTACGTCCTTGGTTCCCCAACATACTCAGCTCAAGGCCCTTAGCATCAAGTGGCCAAAGTCTTAGGATATCTAGAAACCTCCATATCCAAACTGGAAAAACAAGTTGATTCCGTGGCCAAAATGGTTCTCCAAAACAGGCGGGGCCTCAACTTGCTGTTCTTAAAACAAGGGGGGTTGTGTACAGCCCTGGGTGAAACTTGCTGTTTCTACGCCAATGAATCTGGAATTATCAGGGACACCCTTTCAAAGGTAAGAGAAAATGTTAAAACTAAATACTGGATAAGAGATCAAAGAGAAAATTGGTGTCAGTCCCTGTTTAACTGGTCCCCTTGGTTAACAACTTTCCTTTCTACAATCGTAGGACCACTGATAGTTCTCATGTTAATTATCATGATGGGGCCGTCTATGCTGCGTCAAATCACAAACTATGTGTTTGAACAAGTTAATAATGTAAAAATGATGCTGTTAGACCAAATGTATGAACCCCTCTCTTAAGAGTGTGATGAAATTGAATCAAGAATTTGATTCTAACTAAAACCAGTGGGGAATGTGAGACCTGACTGAGCTAAACTGACTCCAAGTTGGCCAGTAATGACCCCGAAGATTTGCTTCCCCCTCCCCTTATCAAACATCGGGGAAAACTGCTCAACCTGCAAAAACCTTCCTGTGCTAATTGCAAGCTTGATTAACACGCCTGCCCAGGAACAGATTTAAAGGTGATCATAAAACACTTCCCCTATAAGATAAGTATAATAAATGAATGTGTTTGAAGTTTTACCCCCTTGCAGCTGTGTGAAAGCCCTGACCTATGTTTGAACTTCTTTGTTTGAAAAACCCTGTAAAACCTACGCACAATCCTGTAACAGAGCTTCCCTTCTCTTAGAGAGTGGAGTCCTCACGTGTGTATAAACTTCTTTCAGTTTTATCTGTGTCCCAGTATTTGGTGTTCTCTCGCTGGCTTGGTGTAACAACCTTTTGCCCACAGATTTTATTCTTACCTCCAAAGTAGTGCAACAAGGCTCAGGCCCCCACTCCACCGGCCTCGGGAGAGCTGCAGGAAGGAGCAGTTTGTTAAGGGTTTTCTTATAAAAGCACCCATCGAGTTGGCCAGCCCCAGAGAGTTCATCTTTTGTATTTTAAATGGTTCTGTAGATTGCCACTTTGAATCCACTGAGAGCATCTTCTGCTTTAAGTAGTAAGAAATTAGAACAACGAAGCTTTTTTTTTTTTGGCATTGGGGATCAAACACCGAGCTTCACCAGCTAAGCATGCAAGCATATCTCTACCACTGAGCTACACTCCTAACCCCCGGGACGCACCGCCGCCTACCCCGGGTGAATGACAACACCAAGGGCAAGACTGCTTGGTTCTTTTCTGTTTTTGTGGGTTTGGAATTTTTATTGGTACATATTTGCTACACATAATTACATCTATCGTGGGGAGTTGGTACGTGTGCATACACATCTAAATTCTTCTTGCTTTCCCTTCTCCTTCCCTCCCACGAACTGCTTTGGGGCAATGTTACAGTTCATCATAGTCTTCATTCCTGCTTCATGGGGGGGGCGGCGCTCGGAAGCCAGGACAGGCGCGTGCAGTGCTGGGGGTTACTCTCGAGCGAGGAAAACGACGGTGGCCGGCCGAGCCTGGCGCCGAGCCTGGCGTTCCGGGAAGTCCCCCGGCGGTGAGAGGGGGTTGCCCAAGCGCTCGGAGAGACAGGTGGGCCAACATGAAGTCCAGCCCCTCCATCCAAGCCGCCATCGACCTCGCAGCGGGGGCTGCCGGGGGCGCCGCGTGTGTACTGACAGGCCAGCCCTTCGACACAATCAAAGTGAAGATGCAGACGTTCCCCAGCCTGTACAGGAGCCTCACCGACTGCTTCCTGAAGACCTACAGCCAGGTGGGCTTCCGCGGCTTCTACAAGGGAACTGGCCCGGCGCTAATGGCCTACGTTAGTCAGAGCTCTGTCCTATTCATGTGCTACGGCTTCTGCCAGCAGTTTGTCAGGAGAGTGGCTGGCCTGGACACGCAGACAGAGCTGAGTGACCTGCAGACTGCGGCCGCAGGGTCCTTGGCCTCTGGGTTTGCTGCCCTGGCCCTTTGCCCCACTGAGCTTGTCAAGTGCCGGCTGCAGACTATGCATGAAATGAAGATTTCGGGAAAGATAGCAAAAAGCCATAAAACAATCTGGTGTGTTGTGAAAAATATCCTTATCAAGGATGGCCCCTTAGGCTTCTACCATGGACTGTCGACCACTCTAATTCAGGAGATACCAGGCTATTTCTTCTATTTCGGTGGCTATGAACTGAGCCGAACGTTTTTTGCATCTGGAAGATCAAAGGATGAACTAGGTCCTGTCCCTTTGATGTTAAGTGGCGGAGTTGCTGGAATCTGCCTCTGGTTTGTCATATTCCCAGTGGATTGTATTAAATCCAGAATTCAAGTTCTTTCCATGCATGGAAAACAGGCAGGATTTATTGGGACTCTTTTAAGTGTTGTGAGAAATGAAGGAGTACTAACCTTGTATTCTGGACTGAAAGCTACTCTTATTCGAGCCATCCCCTCCAATGCCGCACTATTTCTGGCCTATGAATACAGCAGGAAGATGATGATGAGCAAGTTAGAAGCACACTGAAATGCTGGTGAACCTGCGTGCGTGTACCTGAGTTTGAGAACTAAGTTGTCCTTAGGGCTAATGGAATGCAAGACCAATATGAAATTATTTTTGACTGTGTAGGAACTTTGGTTTGGTCTTCTATTCTAAACCTCATACTGTATGGAAGGATCTTTAGTTTGTGTCACTTAATTTGTCCTTATAACCACACTGAAATAGAAATGTCGCTCTTGCCCTTTGTGGGTTATATACAGGGTGAGCCCTGTGGCTCTAGGTTCCTAATCTGAAGGGTTAAATATAATTCTCTCGGGTCTTTTTCATAAATCTGTATGTAGACTGCAGCTTCGATGGTTATGTATTGTGAATAAAATGCAAGTTGGTTCCCTATTTAGTCTTAAATATCACCCAAAAAATCCAGAGTTGATCATGTTTCATGAAGATTGGTGCAAATGCCTACACCTCAAGATGTAGGGTCTGTTTTACAATATCTGCTCAACATGTACACCACACTAGGCTATGTTTTTGGGTTTTTAAAAACGTCTTTATGTGGTGCTTGAGAACTGAAATATGTAGATTTTTTTAGGGTAAAGTAGCTGCATAGTGGTGAGGTTTACATGTCCTTGAGTAAAGTTACAAAGTAAGCACCTTGACTTTTCCACTTTATTCTTAGAGTTGTGCCATTAATTTTCAAAATGGGATTATATTTTGCACTGTGATAATATTTTTAGGAGTGGCCTGGAGCGTTAGGCCTTTGGGAAGCAGCATGGACTTCACTTACACCAACTTTCCTTCTTCTACAGAGCCAAGTTTTAGATTGAGGAAGAGCTGGTTTGTGTTGCTATGCTTTTATTTTCAGCAGAACCACTGAGCTAAATTCCCAGCCCGGTGTTGCTATACTTTGATGAAGACTCATGTAGATGGAAATAGTTCTCAGCTTCTGATCTCTGTATCTTGGCTTCAGTAGGATTTCAGAGTGTTCCATAGTTCATTTAGGGGCTATTAATTCACTTTGGGTCACTTACTGTTCTCTGAGCTTCTAGCAATCAGAAATTCTTCTAGGGAACAGGGAGTGTCAAAGCTAAAAGAAGATTTTGATCCCTGTTTTGGTAGCAGAATGATAGTACTCTTGGCAGAAATTTTAGTGCTTTCATTCCACAGAGATTAAAATCAAGGGTGATCCTGACATTTATATTGGGGTCCATATCCCTTTGCCATTCTTTCAGTGTTAGAGCCATCTAAATTTGGTGCTGGTGGTCAGTGAATTTTAATGATATGGAATGTGACTATAAAAAGCAATGAAACATAAGAAAACAATTTTATTAGCTAAACTATATGTATATATAGGCACTGACAAAATTCCCCAAAACAACTGCCCCACACTAAGACAAATTGAAACTCCCCAAATCATAGTTCAGATCATCGTCATGACTTGGATTTGACCAGCTATTCTTTGGCTTTATGTCACAAGAGAATTATTCTTTCCACCACTAAAGTAAGCTTCATCATTTTGTGCTTGGAGACAAACAGGGTTTCTCAATATCAAGTGTCCTTAAGCACTTGTAAAACTAAAAGAAAGTGAGCTATTAGTCTGAAGATTCCATCCATATGTGCCTATCATTTGAGCAGAATGTAAATTTTGTGTGGACTCTCCAGATTTTTAAGCTTTTTGTTCTCTGTGAAGCCTCTGTACTGCCAGAAGTAAGAGCATCAGAAAAATGAGACGCTGGTAAGGGGGATTCTGGGGATATTTGGTGCTCAGTGTCCTGCCTGACAGGATCAAAATCTATAACTATCAGAGGGCAATCAATCCTCAGACTGTCCAGAAAAGGGGATGGCAAGGGCTAAAGAAAAAAAGACAACAGAGATTTGCATAATTTCAAAGTATATGGTGGGTGGTCAGTGCCTCAGAGTGGGAAAAGAGAAAGATACTCTGAGCTTGCCACTATTGGGTTCATACAATAATCAGAGGGAGTATCAGAGGACTCAGAGGGTGGCAGTAACCCTATGGTGATGAGGATCTTATGCTGATCAGGATCTTAGGTCAATGAGGAGTTTATATTGATAAGGAATTTGCCCCTCCTTAAGTGAAACCTTCCTTCTTTTTTATTACTGCTTGGTTCATAGAGAACTAGGATGTCTTCAGCCTTTGAGCCCTTGAGTGTCACAGCATCACAGGACCATTGAGGCTTCAGCTGTGACTGGAGGCAAAATGGAGTTATGTTTCCACATGCCATAGCTGTCCCACAGGCAAGAAGACTAGGACTCAGATAGCCCTAATCATAATTTCATCATGGAATGAGTTTTCCCCAAAATTAGGTAGAACAGCTCCCAACTGGTTTATATTGCTTGAAAACCAATTTATTTATTTACTTTGCTTGAAAACCATTTTCAACTTTACTCTTAAATTATTTATGTCTTTAAATGATATATTCCATGCTTAAATAATCAGTAGTTACTGAGTGGTGCTTTGAGCAGGTGTATACTAAAGTAGGATAGAAAACAGGACTGTCTTTCAGCAGAAAATAGAGTGTTTCATCCTACACTCTTCCTGCTTAGCACCCATGAACTAGTATGAGTTAGTTCTGTTGTCAGTATATATATTTTGTTTTGTTTTGTACCAGGGATCGAACTCAGGATCTTACACTTGCGAGGCAGGTGAGGTGCCACTGAGCAGAATCCCAAGCCCACACATTTTTTTATATGTCATGCATTAAAGGTTTAACTAAATGCTTTCAATAGAAATAGTATGAGGCAAATGTGAGTGGGAGTGAATAATAGAAATCTAAGAATATTTTTCCCATTTTGTTTGCTTATTTTATAGTTTAATATACTTTGTATCATTTCAGATCTGTACTCCAAGCAAAAGTATAGTAACTTGAAACATATTCTAAGAAATTGGAATGTTTCATCATTAAATTACTTATCCTACATTAAATTATTTAGCTCACATTATTTACAACGTACTACATTGAGCTCTGGGTATTTAGACACTAATAATATTTAGACTTGAGGATCTAATAGTCTAGATATTTGTTATACAATTAGAAGAGTGATATTCCAGAATAAATTTAGGAGAAAAAAACTAGCATTCTTTCTTTCTCTCTGCCTCTGTGTCACTGTCCCTGTCTTTGCTTCTCTCTTTCTCTCTCCCTCCCTCCCTCCCTCTCTCTCTCTTTCTCTCTCTTCCCTTCATTCTCTGTCTCTCTAGGTAATCAGTGATGGAATCTCTGATTTTAAGGAAACATCTCTTTATCTTGCGTTCTTGTTTTTGCACTGTGACTTTTCCTGTATTTCTTCAATATTTGTTTCTAGGATTGAAATTGGACAGATCAATTTTCCTGATGCCTATCCTTATTATAAAGTTTACTTCAATTCCACTTTGCATAATTTTTGTTTTGTTTTGTTTTTTGACACAGGGTTTCACTATGCAGTTCAAGCTGGCTTTGAACTCAAGGCAATCTTCCTGCCTCTGCCTCCCAAGTGCTGGGATTGCAGGTGTGTGGCACTACACCTGGCTCACATTGCACAATTTACACCTTCATTAAAAAAAAAGTTGGTGTTGTTTACTATACCCTCTGGTCTACTGTCAGAGCTAGACCGTCTGCCTCTTGCAATGCTACAGTGATATTGTACCTCGATGTTCTGCCTGTCCTAGCTTTTCCTAGATACCAAACTTTAGTAGTTAAGAATCTCAGCAGGATCTTGTATGGCAACAGAGTATGAAGCTTACTCATTTTCTTCATGATCTTGAGGCTGTACTTGGAGGGAAAAAGTAAGTTCTTTTTCTTTTGTCCTAACCTCTAAAGAGGAGTGATAATTACTACAGGACAATGTTGTGAACATAATAGTCACTGGAGATTTTTGATGAAGGCCATAAAATGTCCCTTTGTCCAAGGCATGAATTTTTTTTTTTTTGATACTGGGATCGAACCCAGGTCCTTGCATTTGCAAGGTGGGCAGAGGAACCACCGAGTTAAATCCCAGCCCCAAGGCCTGCTTTTTTAACTTGAGCAACTTCCTCACTTTGAAATCCCTACAGGTCTCTCTAATATCTCCAGATTCATGTGGAATGGCCTAGATATCTTCTTGAAGATCCTTTCTAGGAAGTAAATTATGTCAGTGTCGGAACTATTACCAGGTTTATGGTCTGCTTGTGAGGTTCACTGCCTATGGTGTGCTCAGCTTCCTTCCAATGACAGCACTGAAATTTAGGCACCTTGTTTGAAAGGTGAACTGCAATCTTCCTGTTTCCTGACCTCCTCAGATTGGTGATGATCATCAGCTCTCTGTTCACTGCACAAATCTTGATTACTTTTTCAAAACCACTTCAGAATATTTAGCATTACCAGCTTTTGTTTTCACGCTAAGATAAAAAATTTCATAGGTAAATAAGTAGTTCTATAGAAAATCAGCATCACTTAAAATCCTATACATTCTCTGTCCCCCCAAAAGTTGTTATTATCATTTCCTGGGAATCCAGAGAGTGGTGTAAATAGTATTTCTACTATAGCCTAGAGAAATTTCACTGGCTCCTCCTACTAAAGCATCTCTCCATACACCATCATTCACTGATTACTGGGAGGGAATGCACAAATCCGCCTTTGGACAAATGGTGAATTCCTCTTGCCAGTACTAGTGTTCCTGATCTTCTTGGTGGTGTTGCCACAGAAAAGCCTTCCGCATCTCCTGGGAACAGGAGATATGAGGTCTTCTCAGACTCAGGTACTTGTTAGTCTGAGCCCGGGGGCAGCTGGCTGCACACCATCATTCTCTTCTGATAAGCGCTTTATGGGATTTTAGCACACACTCTGTGCTTCTGTTTTTGTGTTTCCCTCCCTTCTTTGCTTTGCCATCTGGAGTTGAAGCTAAATTGGGTCAATAACATCTTGTTCAGCCGGGCGTGGTGGTGCACGCCTGTCATCCCAGCACTTGGGAGGCTGAGGCAGGAGGATTGCTGTGAGTTCAAGACCAGCCTGGGCTACGTAATGAGTTCCAGATCAGTCTCAACTATGTAGAAAGACTCTGTCTCAAAAACCAAAAGAAAAAAAAAAGATCTTGTTTTACATCCAAACCTTATTACGTAGGATTGATTGTCTTCTGTTTAAGCCCCAGAACTACACAAGAAAGCCTCAGGATTCTGGGCTCTCTTTCAGTAAGACTAAAGGCCTGGTTGAGGCTAAACATTTTTGATAAGAATACTTCCTTGGTTCTTCTGTATGCTATCTATCACATATACCTTTTTAAAAAAAATTGCTGGGTCACACGATTATAGAACTAGATTATGATAGACTCTCATCATTAGTCCATATGTTTACTTATTTAATAGCATCTCTCTTTCATCTGTGCAAGTATCGTGATCTATTTAGTTAATTCTCTGTCTCTATTTTTTGTAAGAGACACA